CTCCTCCCATACCCACCTAAACACTACACTCACACACCAGACACCACACCATAATATACAACTCCCACCCATACCACACCACACACCCACACCATCACACACATACACACACATCGCACACCACAACACATCAATACACTCCTCACCACAGCCACACTAAACACCGCACACATCAACACTCCAGGCACACACATCGCACACCACACACACCATACCCTCACCACACAACCACAGCACCACAAATCACACACCGACATCAAAAACACATTCGCACCACCACACACACATCATGTATACCCCCACCACCTACACTACACACAACAACACACACTCCAGACACACACATCGCACACCACAGCACACTTCTAATACCCCTCACCAACACCCCACACGACACCACACATTTTCTGACACACCCAACCCACCACCACACATTTCCGAACACCACACACACACATCATATATACTCCCTACCACACCACACCTACACGCCCGGTACATCCACACCAGCAACACATACATTCACACACCACACACAACCATTACCTCCACCACACCACACTACAACACCCACAACACCCCCACCCACACACATCCGCACAAACACACAACACATACGTCTATAGACTCCTGGTGTGGTGTTTAGTGTGGTATGGTGAGGGAGTGTATGTGATGTGTGTGTCTGGGTGTGTGATGTGTGGTGTGCGATGTGTGTGTCTGAGTGTGTGATGTGTGATGTGTGGTGTTAGTGTGGTGTGGTGAGGGAGTGTATATGATGTGTGTGTGGTGTGCGATGTGTGTGTCTGAGTGTGTGATGTGTGGTGTTTAGTGTGGTATGGTGAGGGAGTGTATATGATGTGTGTGTCTGAGTGTGTGATGTGTGATGTGTGGTGTGTGGTGTGGTATGGTGAGGGAGTGTATATGATGTGTGTGCTTGGGTGTGTGATGTGTGGTGTGCGATGTGTGTGTCTGAGTGTGTGATGTGTGGTGTGTGGTGTGGTATGGTGAGGGAGTGTATATGATGTGTGTGTCTGGGTGTGTGATGTGTGGTGTTTAGTGTGGTATGGTGAGGGAGTGTATATGATGTGTGTGTCTGAGTGTGTGATGTGTGGTGTTTAGTGTGGTATGGTGAGGGAGTGTATATGATGTGTGTGTCTGTGTGTGTGATGTGTGATGTGTGGTGTGTAGTGTTGAGTGGTGAGGGAGTGCATATGATGTGTGTGTGATGTGTGCTTGTGTGTGTGGAGGTTGAGTGTGTCCGTGTGTGTGTGTGTGTGAGATGGCGGAGAATGGGGTCTCTGGGCCTGGGGTGGTCAGGGAAGCCCTCCTGTGTGCACCAGGACCTGGTGAGGCTTCTCCAGCAGGAGGAGAAATGGAACCCGATATGAGCAGCTGTTGGGAAAAAAGCCCAAGACGACTTACAATGCATCTGTGGAGCATAAGTCAGGGCCTGGAAGAATGGAGGACGCCATTGCGTGAGTAACTGAGCCTGAGAGCCCGTTTCCTCATTTGTCGGGTGGTCACAACAAAGATAGTTTTGGGCTGTTGTGGGTTAGGAGAACCTGACTGCTGTAGCTGTCACATCTGCTACCCAGAAGAGCTCCGAAGAGCTGCTGTTGAAGCCCCTGATGATACTGTTCATCCATCGTACCCTGCAATATCATTATTTTAATATTGTAAGCTATGAATGCAGTAAAATATTTTATTCAAGTATTGAAATCATCTAAGCTTCCTATTCCCTAGAGATGCACGAATAACAGAGCTCTGATGCTTAAGTTTGTATAGGATTTTACATTTTGCAAAATACTCTCAAATACAAAATCATCTCATGTCAGTTACTTTCCCCTGCCACTGCCAGTTAGTCTCTGGCTAGTGATGTAACCCTTTTGTACTCCAGATTCTTTATCTGTTAAAATGAGGTTGATAGGAGGGTTAGATGACTTAGTAAAGGTAAGGAGTTGGCATTTGTATACAATAAGTGCTCAATAAATGTTAGTCAGCAACAATAAATGTTGCTCTCTCTGGGTAAGTTCTCTGCTTTGCCTGAGATGCTTGGTCCTGGGGTTCCAGAGTCAGTCATCCTCATTGATAGAAGACAGACGTGAAAGTGGGCCTGAGAACATGCAAAGGACATAAAAAGGAAGAAAGGGGAGAGAAAGGGAGGGAGGGAAGGAGTGAGAGAAAGAAGGGAAGAGAGAAGGGAGAGAGAGAGATTGAGATTGAAGGCTAGCGAGGCCATGTGCAGAAAAGATAGCTGAGATCACCAAACCAGGCATGGCCCCATATACATGCAATTTCCATTTTCCTTTTCTGTTTTCTTTTCTGGCAGAATGTACAAGCATATGGAAGTCAAGACCTAAGCCCAGCATCTTCCTGTGTTCTCTCTGGCTGGAGGGACAATTGAAGATCATTTAACCTGAATGTCCACATTGAGATCTGCTCATACTAACAGCACTTCCAGAATTGTATATATTAACAACCCAATTTTTTATAGATATGGTAGCACAAAATACTAA